ATACCTATGACAAAGTTTGATTTATAAGTTAGGTATATGTAGGAGATTAACAGCAATAATTAATAACAGAATACACTATAATAAAAGTAATGTGAATGTTTCATCTGTCTCGTGAAATATCTTATTGGACTGTACTCACCCTTCTTCTGTGATGTTGTGTTGACAGTAAGGAACTAAAATCACAAAGTGTCACAGTGGATAAAGGGAGACTGCTGTATACCAGATATTAGAACTTATACTAAGAAGGAAACAAATGATGTGCATACACACACATGTGTGTGTGTAAAAGAGTACAGAAGTGATGGGTTGGAGCCAATCATGCAAATAGGAGAAGAAAAGAATTCCAGGCAGAAAACAGAATATTTGCTTACTGTTTCCAAAAGAGCTATCTTTTGGACAAAAGCAGTATACAATTATCTAAATCAGGGGTTGGCAAATCCCCCCGTCATCTGTTTCTATAAATAAAATGTTGTCCTGCTTTTATAGATAAAGTGTTTTGGGAACACAGGCAGTCCTGTCCTTTGGCGTATTTTCTGTAGCAGTTTTCACACGACAATGGTAGAGTGTAGAAAGCGGCTATTGGGTCAAGCCTTGGACTGACCTGTGGCAGAGCCACATAAAAGTCCCAGCTTAAAGGGAAGAGCCCTCCTAGCACAATTAAGCTTGACCTCATAGTCCTCCCTTATTCTCCTAGGTAGCTAATGGGCTGTGGGAAGTGCGCAAGTGCTGCCAAAACAAGGCTTGAGTAACCAAATAGATTTGAAACTTGCAAGAACTTTGTAAACATGTTGACCACTTCCCCTTGTTTTGCTTTGTGTGATCTGACTATACAATAAAGCTTCAGCGTACAGGTTGGGTCATTGTTTCCTCATCCAGGCACAGTGATCCCACCTGGTCCCAACTGTATTCTCTTGCCTGTCTTCTTTAATCCTTCACCGCTCCTCCTCAGGTTCACCCTTGGCCGTGCTGGACGTGGTTCAGTAGAGCACTGTGGTTGCGTCAAAGCTGCCGTGGCCTGCAAAGCTGAAAATATCTACTTTCTGGCTCTTTACAGAAAAAATTTCCCAGTCCATGATCCAAATCACCAGGCTGAATAATCATTACATCTGTGGGCCTTTTAATTCTGTGTCTTTAGCCCTGTGAGGTCAAACCAAACTTTGTAGAAACTGCTAGAATGTACCTGGTGATGGTAGTTGGTAATTGTTGAGTGAAACTATGTTCCCAACACTCTGTGAAGCACTTTACATGAGCTGTATTATCCTTAATGCTCGCAATAGCCCTATTCAGTGAGTGCTATTTTCACTTCAGCTTATAGGTGAGGAAACAGACACAGAGAAGTTAAGTAACTTACTTGATGTCACCCAGCAAGTAAGTGGTGGCATCAAGGGTCAAAAGCACACAGCCTGGGTGGGAAACACTATCCTAAACTGCCCTCATCACTCAACATTCTGCAGCTCCTCCACCACCACAGACCCGCTGCTTCCAACTGCTTGTCTATCCCAACTTGCACAAGTAAACAAACATCTTGCCACAAGAATTTAGAACTTGCTTTGGAGCCAAATGTTACAGTTATCCCTTGCTTAGCATTCAGGATTCAAGGCATGCTTCCAAGTCATTTCCTCTCAAGCTTCATTGAGAAGCATTTGGGTAAATATTTTATGCTTTCAGGGATGACCCTGGCCACACTGGAAACCCAAGCTATTTCTATAATTACCCAAATGTGCTCACTATCCGATGTACTACATTATTCTGCAACCTTCTCCCTTGTTTATGGCTAGGAGATGAGACTCTTGAGCCAATACCACCCTTCTTTTTCTCTCCGTGTCCTGAGCATGCAACATACCTTCAGTGTCTCCCCCACCCACCCCCCCACCCCCCGGGTTGCTGGACAATCTCCACTTAAATCCCAGATGTACTGGGGATGACAAGTTTAAACTCTCCTGAAAAGTCTGTTTCAGAAAGTTCAAGTTCTCTGATGTTCGCTCCTAGCAGCTCTGTCCGATAAACTGTATGTGCTAATCTGCATGAAGGATGTTGGTGTTTCTAGATTTGATTTGATTTTTTGCAAGCCTATTCACTTCTGAGGTGGTTTCCCACAGGTTGGAATACCTTCCCAAAGTCACTTTGTACTTCAACATTTATACACCCATGAAAACACTAGAGAATTGCCATTTTTTTCCGTGTTCGAGTATAGGGTTTGAATAGTTATTGAATAACCACACTGTGCTAAACAGTACCTAATCGCACAGATGGGCCTTGTCCCTGTCATCATGGAATGGCAGGGATAAGGACCAGTAAAGAGAAAATAAATATATACCATAGTGAGTTTATAATGAACAAAGTCCATGGCGCCTACCTAGGAGGTGGGTGGAGGTCATGGTCAAGGAAAACTCCCAGAGGGGTAGATTTAGAAGGGAAAATTTATCAGACTTGGGGTATAGGAGGGAGAGGATTGGAAATTAAGGAGTTGAGCTCACATCTGGTTTTATCGTCAGCGTTCTGTTGACTTATTAGCCATTTCTTGGTATATGTTTCTACACACATCCAAAATTGATAGTCATCGATTCAAATTAACACACTTTCTGTAATTTTTCATGTATGTTATTGTGTTTCAAGACAGCCAAAGAATCAATCCAGCCTCACTTTGCTAGTAACCAGGTGTGAGATTTTGGACAAATCACTGAATTTTGCTCAACGTCAATCTTTTCATCTTCACAAGGATACTGAACAAAATAACTTCTCTGGTTTCTTCCACCTCTGAAATTCTACCCTGTTAAACCCTGTCCTTCTCATCATGCTTTCCTAACCTCCATGGCTTTGTGCGGAATTTCCCAACTTTGAACCTGACGATGGCATATCTGTTAGAATTGTATTATACTATGTGTCACACCAAATCTGACTGACCAGGAACTGAAGCAAATTGGGGGTTTTCTTGCTCTCAGGTCTGAAGGAGTCCAGCTTTAGGCAATCTATGGAGAAGCCAGGCAATGACCTCAGGGGCCCAAGCTCCGTCCATCTTCCTTCTTAGTCACCTGTGCTCCCAAGGCAGCTGGCCCATCTCCAGCTTCAAGTCTGTGTCCTCGGCCAGAAGAAGGGACAGCAAAAAGGGCAAAGGGCAAGGTCTAGCTGGATAAACTCTCTTTGAAAGAGTTTTCCAGAAGTTCTTAGTAGCATTTGCTTAACTCTCATTGGTCAGAACTGTCACATGGCCACCCCTAGGTGTAGGGGAGTGCTCTTTTCTTTGGTTGGGTACATGGATGCACTAAACAAAAGGAGACTGCATTTATAAGAAAGGGAGAAGGAATATTGGATAGGCAGGTTGGATTCTTTTGTTACTCAGATGTCTATCAAAATAGTTTAAAACAGGTCTCGCATAACCACTGACCAATCAGTGCAGCTGCTCAGCACACTGTAGCAACACATCCCAGTCGATGGGGTGTTTTTCTGCTTGGCAGGACAGTCATTACATGCAGCTTTTATCCTTCTTCCCCCCATGTAATAAGGCTTAAGTTCATCAAGGGCAGGACCATACTTTGCAGATATTCTTTCCAGTCCCCAGGAAAGCGACATTAATACAGAATAAGTGTTCACTTTTGTTGAAAGGAGTTGAATTATTCATATTATAATCCAAGGATGATACACCCAGGCAAAGAAGCATTCATGTTATTACCTATTCTGTTTCCTCGGGACTGAATGACCCCTCTGAATGGTGACTGTATAATCCTGAATGCCACAGTACAATTGATTAAAAAACTGGGAGACGGAGATGGGCTTTGAAAGTTGTTCAAATCATTTACAATTATTCAAAGGGATTATTATAGACTTAAAAAAAAAAAAGTATTGCCCGAAGTAAAAAGCTTCAGGCATAATAGAGGTTCCGAAGCCCTTTCTCTTCATTTATGAAATTGAATAGATCTAACCAAAAGCCCCCCCCCCCCCTTTCAATAAAATCAGTTCCACGGAGAGTTGCATCTGGTCCTTCCAGCCTATAAGACACCTAGTAATGTATTACTTCTTTTCACTAAAATCTCAAGTAACCATAATGCTCAAGATTAACTCAAAAATTCATGTAGCAATCTTGATTCTTTTTTTAAAGCTATATATTTAATGTTTATCATTTGATTTTCATTAATTCAATTTTTTTCAAAGTGCTTCTATTTTTCTCTGCTTTATTCATTTTTAAATGATGTTTCAGTGGTTGTATTTTTTTTCATTTGCTCTAACTCTCGTTTATTCTCCATTCCATGTGCTTCTGGAAATGCAGTACAAGTGTATCCAAAAGTATTTGGAAAATTATTGGGATACCAAGAAAAAAATATATGTAATACCTATTCCAAATTGGTTTTGACAAGACCTATCTTTGAATCATCATATCCATTGAAACATCTCTTAAGTGCAAATTATTCTATGGTGTAATAGAGGTTAGAATATAATGGGTGTTTTGTTTCCTTACTTTATCTGTAACCTCTTGCCTTAGTCCTCCAGAGAAATCTCTCTCTTTTTTTATGTTCTTACTTGGCTAACTTCCTTTATTAATAAAGTATGATGGGGCATCTTCTTTAACCATACATGTTCAAGTCTAACCTGAACTCTTTCTTTACTCATTTCATTATCTTTGAAATTGGGATATATCTTTAAATTTGGGGCCTATCATGATTTAATTGGAAGATTTTGGGGGCAGTAAGTAAAATAATGATAGCAAATAAAACAATCAATAGCTTCTCAGATGCATTGAAATGAAGGAGCCTCCAACAGTAACAGTGAACTTTTAAGAATTTCTGAATGCATCCTGCTCTGAACTATACGATTGTTTTTGACTGGAGCCATACCATATCCTAAACAGAACGAGGTTTAAGTTTTAGAAAATAGGAGTACACTGGCTCATTTTTGTCGGCCAAGGAATTAGTCCATTCCAGATATTTCAATTCTCAACTGAATGGTTTAAGATGTTCCCATTCCCATCACCACTCACTCACCAGCAACACTTTTAAATTAACCTTGGAAACAAGCGAGTAAACAGTCATCATTCTGCCAAGTCCAACTACCCCTAAGAACGCCTACGTCCGATAGTCAGCAAACAACCAGATTGCAAACCAGAAGTGGCAGCATTGACATTGTGCTACTTGTTTGCTACTCCGCAAGGGTCATTAGCTGTGCTGCCCCAAGATGTGAGGGACAGAAACAGTTCAAGGGCCAGAGACAAACAGCATTTAGATGGTCCCCAAGTGGCTGAGGAAACAGGAAATCTAAAACAGATTTTCCGCCTAAGGTTCCCCTCTGAACAGTCTTCAGGATTACACAGTGTAAAATAGGAACACTTTTGGCTACTAATCCTTAATAATCCTAAACCTTGGATACTAAAACCAGAAGATAATTATTCTTTTATATTTCTCGGTATAAAGGTGTTCTTGATTTCAATGACCACAATCATAACAATCCTCTAGTTTAATTAAAAGAGTGTGTTCCTTCCTCACAGTATTAGAGGCTTCAAATGCTTAAAGAACCTTTTCATAAGCACCCCCTCATGGGGACTTACAGATCAGGACAAAGGGAACATGTTAAGAATGTTCTTAATATTGCAATTAACCGGGAATTATTTTTTAAAACCATTCCTTATGAATTCTGGACAATATCTTTTCATGTCTTAGAGGTTGTTGTTTTATTGTCCTTTTAAGTAGGATTGCAACCCAGCTTGTAGATGCTACAAGCTTCTTGGGGAGGGTGGATTTCACACTTGTGGTCTCTGAGCCAAAGTGGGCAGAAAGCCACTTTGTTCAGGTTCACTTACCCCCACGGTCGCCCCAGTCAAGATGACCGCTGGTCATTTTGTGCCGACTCACATCCATGCTGTGCTGTCCAGTGGACTGGAGCAACCACGCTGCCTTTAAGTGATCCCAATTTGGCACTGTTGTGCTTGCAACATTCAGCTCTAAACTCTCTCCTTCCCTCGTCAGTCAAGGACACCCGGACTTTGGTTCTTTGGAAGTTATAGTAGGACATTTTATTCATTTGGCACTCATTCCCAAGAGGATTTGAAGTTACATAATTTCAATATGACTCTGCTGTCCTGTGACCTCAGCGAGTTATAACAGTAATAGAGCCTCCAGCGTTCCCCAGTGTCCCACTGTTACAAAGCACTTCCATGCACCTCCTTTTGTTAAAGTTACTAGCCTCGGAGAAAGCCAGTTGCCCCATGTGCTTCTGTGAAAGCCAGCAGGTGGAAGAACGCTTGGGGAAATGGGGCGCTGGACAAATGCAAGGGTCACCCTGTGAGTCTGTCGACCGGTAGGACTAGAGTGTCAATGTGTTGGCCCAAGTTTGGTTTCAGGTCTGGCCTCAGAGAAGTTCCCATTCAGGATATTTGTCAAGAATGAGAGGTTAGAAATGCCAGCACCAGGAGGTCAGGCTGGTAGTCTACCAAGAATTCATACAGGAAGCGTGTTGGAAAGACAGAAATGGAGGACTTTGGCCTGCATTGGCCTTGAAAGGGGACCCTGAATTCTCCCCGCTGATGACTGTAGGAATATCTAAACTCTGGCATACAGCTGAACTGTAAGCCTCCAGTCTCCAAGAATCAGAGCAATTCTGAGTTGAAAGTCTTACTGGTCTCCCCTGACCAAATTCACTAACCCCTCTAGGGTTTCCTAGGGTCTCTGCTTGAGCACCCACAGAAACAAGAAGCTTGTTTCCTACCGGAGTTGCCCATTTCATCATTGGGGCATAATAATCATTAAAAAGTTATTCTTCCTCTTGAGTCTAGGCCTTCAGCCTTCTAACATGACCCATTTGTGGGCAAGTGGAATTGTCAGCAAGGCACTTCTCTACCCTTTTTTGAACTCGAATTTGCTTCTATGTCATTTCCTCCAGTGAGAGGATTTCTCTGTGTGTGCCTTTGGATACACTTTCTTAAGATCATAACTTTGAATGGTTTTAGAGACAGCACACAAAGCCCCTGCGAGTTGCATATCTGCCTTTCTACTCTCAGCTTCCCTGTGTCTTCTGTGTCTCTGATATCTTTTCTTCTT